CAACAAAAAAGAAGACAAAAACAAACAAGCAAAACAGCCACCTTCCCCCACACATGCGCATGCACACAGAGAATAAAGGATACAATGGCGGGAAATGATGAGAATCCTAATGCTCATAAATGAAACAAGAGATAAATAAGTTGATAGTAAGCAGATTGAAGTCCTGGTTGTTTCCATAACAGCTTAAGAATTAGCTAATATGTTATCTTGTAGGCAAAGAGTTATCCTTATTCACAAGCACACTTATGAGACAGAATCATAGGATTTATTATCACCAATCAACAGTCAGATCTGACCATATAGTTACAGCTACTACATCAAAGTCTATCATCGTTCCTTATAGAGGCATAACAATCTATCATACAAGAGATTACGACAACAAAACATAATGGCTGTTCGAACAAGTGAGCAACAATTAGTTTCTCAGGTAAGAAGGGGCGGGGGGGAGGGGGAGGGGGGTTGAAAGTATAGCTTAAAATCCTAATATGGGACCAGTTACTCAAGTAGTATTATGTGCTGTATACACAATAATAATAGAGCAACAGTCACGGTTTTAATCATGATAAGCATCACATTCAGAACAAATTAAAGATTTATATATTATTATACTATCCGGTCGTGACTGAAAGAAAGAGGTTTTATGTTGAACATTGCATTTTCCATGAACACTTACCAACCCAATTATTAAAAGCTATATATGTATAACTACTTTCCACCAGACCATGAGCAAGACACATGTTTTGTAGGACATGTCCCTTAGGTAAAAAACTTGAACAACCATAGCTGTAGATAGCCATATATGTATAACTACTTTCGACCAGACCATGAGCAAGACCTACATGTTTGTAAGACATGTCCCTTGGGTAAAAAAATTCTTGAACAGTCATAGCTGTAGATGGCCAGGCTTTATTATGCTATTGTTTTCTAAGGGAGAAGCACTTTACAATAGGATAATGTGATGTTTTCTATCATGACTTATGCTTAAGAGAATAAGAGGGACAAGTTAGCAAACCTAGTTTCCTAAACAATGTTTCAACTTTCAAATGCAAATCATTCTCAGGAAAGGCATAAGAAATAGGCATGTCATGGGACTAGAATGCAATACATTTTTTTGACAAATATAATTATGGTACTACCATATCATTTTGTTTTCAGCCTTCTGCGCTCATATATGCTCCTCTATGATTTATCTTCCTATTGTAGCGGGCACAAAACTGCATTTTGGTATATATTTTAAGCCAACTACACCATAATTGAACTTTCCAGTCATGGAGTACTTGTATCAAATTATCCAATTTTGTTATTTCACGTCAAAAACCTATGCAATACAGACGATATATCATTCCACTTGACCTAAAGGTAAGGCTTGTAATAAAATGGTAAGCTTCTAAGAATACTTCCCTCAAATGAAATGCGTATTAATAGCTATAACAGGATAAACCCCCAAGGTTCTCCATGATTAGTTAACATAGACAGTACTGATCTGAACAGAATTACTCAATGGATAGAAAATCAAATGCAGCATTCAACAACCATTATATGCATGTTACTCTAGTGACCAATTTTGTAAAAAGACAAATTGATGTCCTTGTTCATTGCATCACTAATAATAAATAATTAACTCCTCACAAGTTTTCCCAAATGGTTGCAATTATATACATACCTTCCTAGTTTGTAAGGGAGGAAACAATGAATTCATAGTCAAACAGTTACCATTATAAAACTAAATAAAAGCAACACATAATCAGAAGGCACTTTACATAAATAAACAACTGCAATCAATAACTAACTACATAATGTAGAATAAACCAAAAGAAATAATAAACCGATAAAACAATTACCTCTGCTGCCAATCTCTGCACCATAAGGGCAGCACACGCTCTCGCGTTCACCCATCGCCACTGCAAATTCCGGTTATCCAACAATCTCAACAGATGCGCCTCCTCGATCCTGTTCTCGCCTTTCTTCGCTCTTCTGACCTCCGCTGCAAAGCTTATGATTGAAGGTGCATTGCCCACCTGCTGCCCGTTTGGCAACGGTGAAGAACTCCCCATCACGCTACTATTCCCTCTCCCTCTCAAAGGGCTCGCCATTCCTCTCGCGGGAGACCCTGCGGCCTTACTAGGTGAAGAAGGCCTAATCGGCCTATTTGGTGAAGCTGCTGATCTCGGTGACGACAATGGGCTATCGCTCAAAGTCCTTTTGATGGCCGGTGACTTTATTCCAGGCTCAGGAATTCTTCTCAGCCTACTACCATTCTCTTGCCAAAATCTCGCAGGTACGCTTATTCCTCTCGACGTTACCTTGGCTCTCAGTGGCACTGAAACCTCATTAGCACCCGAATTGCTTCCCGATGACACACTGTCACTATCTGAATCCAAACCCATCTGCCCATCGAACGAAACCCTCCTCGTCCCGTCCTCCATTAAAACCGACGACTGCTGAAGCAACCTAACAGTAGCCAAGATCGGATCTTTCTTACTATCAGAGCAATCCAAGCTCCTCGTAAGCGAGCTCGACAGCGATCTAGCAGCCGGCCAGCGGCGGGAGTGAGAATGCTCCACCGGCTTCGAGTTCTCCGTCTTCGCATCTGATCTCCTCCGCTCCGGCGTCGGTTTTCGGGTCGGATTCGGGGAATTCGAGGCGGCCTTCGCTTTACTAGTCTGATAGAAGAAGGATTCCCCTTGAAAAGACACAGAGAGAGACCTCGTCGTCGTGCAAAGGGCTCTCGCAGCGTTCGAGATAGTCTCTTGAGGGTTTGATTTGGGGGTTGAGGGTCGAGAGCGATCGACCGAGTGAGATCGCTTCGATTGGGACAATGCAGTTGGAGTCGAGGGTCGAGGAGTCAGCAGAGGCGAGGGATACCTTCTAGAAGCCGACGAAGAGGTCGAATTTGAGGATGAAGACGTATACGACGTCGAAGTCGAGGTTGAGGACGAAGAAGAGAGGTATCGAGAGGTGATCTCCTTGGTTCTAGGTCTTCGTGAAGAGATCGTGGCGTTGTCTTTCTCAGAGGGGATCAATGGCG